AGAAACATCCAAAGCTACATGTTTACCCCGTGTTGCAGTGACATAGATTGTCTGGTTATGGTCACTACTTCGTGAAAACCTACAAAAGCCAAACTTCTCGTCCTGGTTTTAAAAAAACACCTTGTTAGAAGACAACGGCAAAAATAAAATAGAAGGGGAGGATAACAAGGAGTTCAGATACAATGAATAAGAACAATATTGGATGCATTGGCACAAACTTTTAGAACTGCAGAATTATAAATAAAAGGATAAGGATACTAAGTGGCCACTTTGTTGACTTATTAGCTTATCTGCCGGACTCTTTAACCAAACATTAACTTATTTGTTTGTGCACCCAGATTTCAGAATTGGGTAATAATGAAAAAAGGAGGGCTAGGGGTACTTTTTTTCACTTTATGAGTGAAGCTGCTCAAAATGATCATACATTCATATTGCCTGTTAATCACACATTTGTTTATTTTATCAGTAAAATATATCATAAATGTATCATTTTACTATTCAGATATTTCAACTTCATCAATACTACCATACTAGCAAAAAACAATTTCAGAACACAAGTTCACCAAGCTAAGCAATTTCAGCCTTACAAGTTACAAATGGGCTCTAAAGTCTGAAGTGGAAACAATCTAAGAGAAAATATGTCTTCCAGAAGGAACCCGAAGGTATAACAAAGAAGTGCCACATTCTGACCCACTATGCAATCAAACATTCATCAGGTCAGATCAAGCTTCTGCAATATAATCCCAACACTGTTTTGGTCAGGGGGTCACATGAACATGGCATTACACCTGTAAAAACCTAGTGGCAGTTTTTGTTAGACCCTTGATGCCTTGCTGCATTTACTACCCAAAACTTCATAGAAAGTAAGAAGCGAAGAAACTTTAAGGTGCCCTTTTTATTTAGATATTGACTACCACACTACAAAGGATGACAAGCTTTTGAACCCCAAGTTATGATGTTGAAAATTTAAGTCTTACATCTTTCTTCTGCAAAGAAATCACGGATGCTAATGTTGAGACATTCCAAACCCTACAACAGCCACTTCCGATAGATGCAAGAAATTTGCCATCAGGGCTGCAGAGATAATCAAATCAACATAATTAGAAGTCCACACTGTATTATGTTAAGGTCGTAAAGGTATTGATGGTATGAAGCTAATGATAAGAAAAAGTAACCACCATTAACCTGAAATCTAAATCTTTTACAGAAGCATCGTCCACCTCATCAATTATAATTTCCATGCTAGGCCATTTGAAAACTCTTAGCTTGCCATTCTACTCTGAATAAAAAAATTAAAATCAAGAAAGGCGTTTTGTTTTACAAAAACAATATTTGCTGCATTTTAGAAGTCACACATAAATAATGAAATAGAGCATATCAATTAACACACAATGAAAGAAAGTGGCTTTATCTAAAAGAGGAGAAAATGGGAGCAAGTGTTCGTATCTATGTATGCGTAAGCACCTTGTTGAATAGCTCATGGAATGTAACTTTACAGAAAGACAATGACAATTCCACTTTCTGATTTGCTAAAATTCCAACTCTGGACATTTTTTGGGCCCTGAAAATATTGTACGGACATACTCTATCCTACCTCTGGGATACCCTTCCTAAACCATTCGGCAGGGAATGCTACTATGCAACTCAGTTCTATTGAACCTTTGTCTGTTTTATCTTTCAC